GTTTTTGACAGATTTCCCATCGACCGTCGACATTTGAAGCAGGAGATATAATAGGCTTTTTTTTATTTGCAATTTTTAGGGTGTCTGGCGAAACCCACACGAACATACTGATGTCTGGGAAACTGTCTTGTTCTTCGAATAGGTGGTTCTAAATCTTCAGTGGTGTGTTTTTGACAGATTTCCCATCGACCGTCGACAGTTTAAGCATGGGACATAAAAGGCTTTTTTTTTTATTTGCAATTTTTGGAGTGTCGGGCGAAACCCACACGAACATTCTGATGTCTGGGAAACTGTCTTGGTCTTCCAATAGGTGGTTGTAAATCCTCAGTGAGGTGTTTTTGACAGATTTCCCATCGACCGTCGACATTTTAAGCAGGAGATCTAATAGGCTTTTTTTTTATTTGCAATTTTTGGGGTGTCGGGCGAAACACACACGAACATTCTGATGTCTGGGAAACTGCTTTTGTCTTCGAATAGATGGTTCTAAATCTTCAGTGGGGTGTTTTTGACAGATTTTCCATCGACCGTCGACAGTTTCAGCAGGAGACATAAAAGGCTTTTTTTATTTGCAATTTTTGGTGTGTCGGGCGAAACCCACACGAACATACTGATGTCTGGGAAACTGTCTTGGTCTTCGAATAGGTGGTTCTAAATCTTCAGTGAGGTGTTTTTGACAGATTTCCCATCGACCGTCGACATTTTAAGCAGGAGATATAATAGGCTTTTTTTTTATTTGCAATTTTTGGGGTGTCGGGCGAAACACACACGAACATTCTGATGTCTGGGAAACTGCTTTTGTCTTCGAATAGATGGTTCTAAATCTTCAGTGGGGTGTTTTTGACAGATTTTCCATCGACCGTCGACAGTTTCAGCAGGAGACATAAAAGGCTTTTTTTATTTGCAATTTTTGGTGTGTCGGGCGAAACCCACACGAACATACTGATGTCTGGGAAACTGTCTTGGTCTTCGAATAGGTGGTTCTAAATCGTCAGTGTGGTGTTTTTGACAGATTTCCCATCGACCGTCGACAGTTTAAGCAGTAGACATAATAGGCTTTTTATTTATTTGCAGTTGTTGGGATGTCGGGCGAATCCCACACGAACATTCTGATGTCTGGGAAACTGTCTTGGTCTTCGAATAGGTGGTTCTAAATCTTCAGTGGGGTGTTTTTGACAGATTTCCCATCGACCGTCGACATTTTAAGCAGGAGATAAAATAGGCCTTTTTTTTTATTTGCAATTTTTCGGGTGTCGGGCGAAACCCACACGAACATACTGATGTCTGGGAAACTGTCTTGTTCTTCGAATAGGTGGTTCTAAATCTTCAGTGGGGTGTTTTTGACAGATTTCCCATCGACCGTCGACAGTTTAAGCATGGGACATAAAAGGCTTTTTTTTTTATTTGCAATTTTTGGAGTGTCGGGCGAAACCCACATGAACATTCTGATGTCTGGGAAACTGTCTTGGTCTTCGAATAGGTGGTTCTAAATCTTCAGTGGGGTGTTTTTGACAGATTTCCCATCGACCGTCGACATTTTAAGCAGGAGATATAATAGGCTTTTTTTTTATTTGCAATTTTTGGGGTGTCGGGCGAAACACACACGAACATTCTGATGTCTGGGAAACTGCATTTGTCTTCGAATAGATGGTTCTAAATCTTCAGTGTGGTTTTTTTGACAGATTTCCCATCGACCGTCGACAGTTTAAGCAGTAGACATAATAGGCTTTTTATTTATTTGCAATTGTTGGGATGTCGGGCGAATCCCACACGAACATTCTGATGTCTGGGAAACTGTCTTGGTCTTCGAATAGGTGGTTCTAAATCTTCAGTGGGGTGTTTTTGACAGATTTCCCATCGACCGTCGACATTTTAAGCAGGAGATAAAATAGGCCTTTTTTTTTATTTGCAATTTTTCGGGTGTCGGGCGAAACCCACACGAACATACTGATGTCTGGGAAACTGTCTTGTTCTTCGAATAGGTGGTTCTAAATCTTCAGTGGGGTGTTTTTGACAGATTTCCCATCGACCGTCGACAGTTTAAGCATGGGACATAAAAGGCTTTTTTTTTTATTTGCAATTTTTGGAGTGTCGGGCGAAACCCACATGAACATTCTGATGTCTGGGAAACTGTCTTGGTCTTCGAATAGGTGGTTCTAAATCTTCAGTGGGGTGTTTTTGACAGATTTCCCATCGACCGTCGACATTTTAAGCAGGAGACAAATAGGCTTTTTTTTTATTTGCAATTTTTGGGGTGTCGGGCGAAACACACACGAACATTCTGATGTCTGGGAAACTGCATTTGTCTTCGAATAGATGGTTCTAAATCTTCAGTGTGGTTTTTTTGACAGATTTCCCATCGACCGTCGACAGTTTAAGCAGAAGACATAATAGGCTTTTTTTTATTTGCAATTTTTGGGGTGTCGGGCGAAACACACACGAACATTCTGATGTCTGGGAAACTGTTTTTGTCTTCGAATAGGTTGTACTAAAACTTCAGTGGGGTGTTTTTGACAGATTTCTCATCAACCGTCGACAGTTTCAGCAGGAGACAAATAGGCTTTTTTTTTATTTGCAATTTTTGGGGTGTCGGGCCAAACCCACACGAACATTCTGATGTCTGTGAAACTGTCTAAGTCTTCGAATAGGTGGTTCTAAATCTTCAGTGCGGTGTTTTTGACAGATTTCCCATCGACCGTCGACATTTTCAGCAGGAGATATAATAGGCTTTTTTTTATTTGCAATTTTTGGGGTGTCGGGCGAAACGCACACGAACATTCTGATGTCTGGGTAACTGTTTTTGTCTTCGAATAGGTGGTTCTAAATCTTCAGTGGGGTGTTTTTGACAGATTTACCATCGACCGTCGACAGTTTAAGCAGGAGACAAATAGGCTTTTTTTTTTATTTGCAATTTTTGGGGTGTCGGGCGAAACCCACACGAACATTCTGATGTCTGTTAAACTGCTTTTGTCTTCGAATAGGTGGTTCTAAATCTTCAGTGTGGTGTTTTTGACAGATTTCCCATCGACCGTCGACAATTTAAGAAGGAGACATAAAAGGCTTTTTTTATTTGCAATTTTTGGGGTGTCGGGCGAAACCCACACGAACATTCTGATGTCTGGGAAACTCTCTTGGTATTCGAATAGGTGGTTCTAAATCTTCAGTGGGGTGTTTTTGACAGATTTCCCCTCGACCGTCGATAGTTTAAGCAGGAGATATAATAGGACATTTTTTCCGATGGGAAGTATTCCTATTGAGTTTCTTCCTGCCCATTTTTTTTTCAAACTTTTCACCCCAAGCATGGCAGATGTGCCACTAGCACGCAACGGGTTACAGAAAGTGGGAGCAAGTGTAAAGAGGTGTTAAAGAGGAAAGGTTGAAGAGAAGGACGGAATATAGATCAAGGCATCTGGAAATTTCCATTGACATTGCATTTGAATGATTGGAGATTATAGATATCAGGGAAGCAAGTAAGTGGAAGGGAGTTCCACAGATGGGAAGTGCGAGACATGAAGTTACTGGAGTAGAAGTGACGGCTACATTTAACCGTTTCGACAGTGAAAGGGTAGCACTGAGATGCTGACCTAGTCTGCAAATGTTGTCTTTTCTTTTTCTTCCTTTCCCTGGTGGGGTGTGGCGGGACAGAAGTGGAAGTGTGAGGTGGGGCTGTGGACGCTGAATCGGCGGAAGAGGTGGAGGGAGTGGGTTAGAGATCTCGAACAAGTGGGAAGTCTCTTTGCTCTGGGCAGGACAATAGTATCTTCCAGTTTCTTTGGCGAGGCAGGAACGCATAGCGACCTGGTTTTGTCCATGAGCCTATCCGTCCTACTATGTCCGATGTGCTTTAGTATTGGACGATCTTCCTACACTTCTTTCTCTCTGCTCTTCAAGGATGATGGAGAAGATGGAGGCATTTCCTCTACTTCATCAACTGTGTCTCGTTAGTTCTGCTGCTTTTTCTTCTCTTTACTGTTTTTGTTACTGCTGTTTTGGTTTCTATTTTGGTTTTCTGAACCTCTTGCTTCTGAGTTTACTTATTTTGCTTGCGCTGCGCCTCCTTTTTAGCGCCCCTGCCGTGGTCGCTGAGGTTTTGGGGACTGCGCATCCTTCTTTTGGGAGGTGGGTGCTCCTTCACCTCCTTCCAGTCACCGTCAAAGGTCTTCTCTTTTGGTGCTGATACTACAAGTGCTGTTGTTCTTGTTGTTGTTGAGCGGGGTGGAGGTCGCACATCGTATTGGACCTCCTAGTTAGAACTTTTGGGGCAATATAGAGACTTTTCAGTGTCTCGTCCATGGTATTCCTGTTGACCCCAATCATTTCCCGACTCTTTACGTCAGAGGTCAGCAGGGATATAATTCTTGAGTTGACTGCATCCAGTGCCTCTGGGATCGTGAGAAACTCATTTCCATGGAAACGCTTCTCGTACTTGGCCCTTTGTTCGGCATAATATGCTAAGTCCTTTGGTCTGTTTTCTGACCTGGCTATTTTTTTAGGCGGTGAAGTATTTTGAATTGGCACCGCCGGTCTTCTAATTTATTGGTCATGGTGACCCAAAACCACCACGGCTAAACAAATAAACTTTTGCCGTATATACTATTATCTTTTTTTTTTATAGAAGTGTAAAAAAAAAAAAAAACAAAATCGTGGACAAATGAAAAGAAGGACGTAGAAAAAAATAAAGACAATAAGCACTAAAAATAGACAACAAATAAAATAAATAAATAAATAAGAAAAAGGTAATAAAAAACGGGGGAAAACTGAAAAATTCAAAAGTTTAAGAAAATTAAAAATAACAAACTTAACAGTTCACATGAAAAGCAGAACTCTGGACAAAATGAAACGTCAATATACTCAAGCAAAAAGACAACGCTTAACCGCACGACAGATGCGCGGAGGGGGTACTCCTCACTTATTTATGTTACTATTTAATAATGATAGATTTAAATATGTTTAATGTAAATATATTCAAGAAAGTGTCTAAAATAAAGACTAATGAATGTTCACTAGAGCTCAACATGAAAAAAGAAAAAAAGAAAGAAAGAAAGTACAGATAACGAAAGAAAAACAGAAGAAAAGATGGAAAAGCTGGATAATAGAAATTTACAATAAATGAAGAAAAAGGTTAAAAGATGAGAAATATACGTAAATGGACAGAAAGGAAAAGAAAGATACGGAGAAAAAGACAGTGAAATGGAGAAAAATAGTTCAGTATCTTAACGCCACAAGTAGACAAAAAAATATTAATTACAAAATAGACAAGAAACGAAGACTCAAAAGCGCCAGAGGGTGAGAATCTGAATCGGCCTCAAACTTGTATCTTCTTGCATGTCAGCTCAATATTATAATTGCTTCTTTTCCGTAAATATTTTTTTGGAATCATCTTGACATACTGATATATCTTTACAGTAATGTGTGTTCGATCCTCATGTGTGGCGCATAATTGTAGCCTTGTTCCAAACTAAACGAAGCTGACAAAAGAAAAACAATGAAATTAAACTTTTAAGAAGACGCCAAATAAAAAAAAGGGAAGAAAAATCGAAGGAGTGATTTTTACAACAAATTTTATAATTTAGTTTTGCAAAGTAGAATGGCAAATTCTCATATTTTCATTAATCATAATTTCCTGAATGGATTCGTCACGATTTAAAACTAAAGTTTAATATTTTTAAGTATATGAATTACTTTGTCACGTCATGTTGCAAAATTCTACCATGGAATTTCCAAACATATGTGTCATTACTTATGAATACAAAAGTTTCCCCATGAAATTAAGAAAAATCGACATATATATATAATTTAATATTCATATATTAAAACAAGACTACCTTTTTACATCTGCACATCTCATTAAAGATATAAACTTGTCGGAAATATATATATATATATATATATTATCTATCGCTTCAGACAATAGAAAAGATACAGACAAATGACCATCTTTGTCAGGCAAAAGTTTTGAGTGCGTCTAGATATTAAGACAGTTCCGTTTTTCTTTCTAATTGTGTTGAAGAAGAGAAATTAACCTATTCAGTTTTGGAAATAAGAAAAGGAACGTCTATCAAAGTAGCCAACTTAGACGATTATGGTGTGAACCTGAAAAGAATAAAAGCATCTTAAGATTTTGCTCTCAAGATGAGGAAATTGTGAAATAGATGAGACGGAGGTTGAAAGGAAATTATTTATAGAGGATCTGTCAAGCTTTCATATTTACACACAAGACAATATTCAAGATGTTAATTTGTTTGGATTTATATTCTGATTGTTAGCAAGTGAAAACAAGTAATACCACCATTTGAACCCTAATCGCCAGTTAAGGGAATAAGGAAAAACTGAAATGAAATAAAACTATTTTTTCTTTGTATTTTTCTTCATTTATGATTTTTTTTTTCCTGCGAAAAGAAGTCTTCATAAATCAATCTTTATAATATTCAAAATTTGGCACAGTGGTTATATCACGACAGAAAAATTGCTAAATATAAAAACTTGATACTTTTAGATTGTTCTGCTATTCGAGTTCGTTCTGATTTTTCTCTTTCAAATCAAATGAAGATCAAACAGAAGTCTTCGTCAAAGAATCCTTGATTCTTGAATATTTTACGACTGACATTTTTGGATAATTTTCCCCTTCCTCTCTTATTTCTTTCTTTCTTTCTTTCTTTCTTTCTTTCTTTCTTTCTTTCTCTATATATACACACACACACAGAAGGGTAACACGCATGCGCACACAAGAACACAATCTAAAGTGCCAACAAGGTAGAAATAAAAGTACATTTCACCTTCCCCAACTTGCAAAAAAAGTAAACTTAGCCGGATGACGAATGTGCAAAGGAGTAGCGGCCTACTCTGTGAGAGTCAAATATTTCAACCGCAGAATGATTGCTGGAACTAGAAAGAGGAGTTACTCTCTCAATTATTAACTGCTCCCGGGTTTGTTTGTTTTTTCAACGAAAGTAGTAAGTGTCTACTGTAAATTCCATACAGATGCACATGAAAACTAAGAATTCCCACAAATATTGAAGTGGGTACAGGAATTGGGTCCCCCTTCTCCAGTGACTGACAATGAATAGAAACATTGCATCAAATCTCATCTGGGTTTAATGTTTGTGCCGTTCAACTCATCAGAGAATAAATTACACAGCTTCTGGAAACATCGCTATCAAAGGAGCCACATTTCCAACGCTGTTGAGCAGATGGTGGAGTTCGTATACGGAGGAGAACATATCAGTCCGAAAGTATATTCATTTGTAGAAAATAATTCATTGAAAATAAGTAATGTCCTGTAGAGTTTTAAACTCTTTATTAGCCTCTTCTACTAATTCTATGGCTTCAAAATTGATTACTGGAATTGTCGCTAGTTGAAGTGTTTCTGGAAAAGGTGCCAACCAGAATGATGGAAGTACCTTTTAATGTGTCAAAGATAACTCGAATATTGACTTTCGATGTTCAGAGTAGTTGTTGGCTTGGATTGCTCTGGCCAATGCTTATGGTCAGTGAGGAGATGTAAAAGGAATTAAAATAGCTTTGCTTCTTTCCGGTCTGATACAATTTGCGACAACTCTATGAACTAAAACATCAAATGTAGATTACCCCGAATTGACATTTTATAGAGATATCCAAGGCACTGTGTTTTGGAAATCATTTGAAAAAAATGCTTATTAGATGATGTTTACGTTCTTCTGGTGAACTACTGGCATTAAGAAAACCCTCAATGTAGTAGAAAACAGAACCCAGTTCTTAAAGAACTGTATTCCTAAACCGTTGGAATAGCTGTGTCATGTTTCGATGCCCGAATGCTAAAGGTAAAGAGTTTAAATAATCCAAAAGATTAGTGATCGCCGTTTTTTGTTTTTAAAGGTTTTTTTCTGTTTGATGATGGGTTCAAATCAGATCAATATTTTAAACTATGGTAGCACCGTTTAACTGGCTGGTAACATCCTGAAAGTTGGAAATCGGGTAACGAAGTCCTGATTAAATTTAGTATACGTGAGTCACTGCAAGGTCATCATGGAAGAATTTTTTGGTGGGTGAGTGGGTGTTTGTTTGGCGGGGTTAATGTCAGGAGGTGAATCATTCTAAGATTCACTAAATGTTGAAATACCTCTTGCCATCCGAAGCAAGTCAGCGTAGATATGAAGAAACAGTGATTTCGATTTGATGCGTAAGTGTAATGATTTGGTTTCTTTGGGAAAGTCTGGCAATATCCACGAGAATTCAGATTTGTATTCGGCTGAGAAGTATCACTACTTGGAGATAGACTTTATATCAGTTAGTATGTCAAGTAGTTGTTCTTTTTTGGCTTTTCTTTTTAAAAAATCTATCGGTAGACGTTCGTTTTATTCAGTAAGGAATCTGGAATCAACGATCGTTGCGTTCCACTGTCGATCAGAAATTTTAGTTTAGGATTTCTATGTGCAATATCGAAGCGTCGACTTGCCTCTGGAGTGCCTATATATATATATATATATATATATATATATATATATATATATATATATATTGTATTTCCTTAACCCGTTGTCTGCTTCTGAAAGGATTAAAGCGAAATTGTCTTTTCAGTTGTTTTAGCTGCACTATCAAGATTTCCACAAGCTTCCTTTCCCTGGTACACACCTAGTTGGGACACACTATCGTTGACTGAATAGCATGCGCTCAAAACTAGCTATCTGCTAGCGAGGCGTTCATTAAGTTATTGGCCATATCCACCAATTTTTATTTTATTTATTTTTTAAGTTTGTCGTTGCTCAAAGTTTTAAAATATTTGCCATTACTGTGGCAACCTTTTTAGGAATATGTGCTGTAAGACGCTGATGTAGGCGAATCTTGGCAGTAGAGGTTGATGCTTACCGAAATTTCCAAGCGTCTCATGTATATAAATTTGTTAAAATTGATCACTCAGCAAAATATAATGTGGGAAATATTTTCTTGTTGACAAATCGAGAAAATTTTGGTTGTAATGTTCAGACTTTAACAATGATTAAATAATCAATCTCTATCTATCTATCTATCTATCTATCTATCTATCTATCTATATATATATATATATATATATATATATATATATATAAAAGGTGGTTAGCTTAGTAAAAATTGATACTGTAGCATTTAGAGGAGATCGAATCAGCGCCAGAAAAGTGGTTTGGGAGAATCTTGTGAGCCGTCACGTGTTTATATTTTCACGCGCACATACATAACTACACACTTGCATATACATGCATAAAACTGCGTGTGTTGAATATATAATATAAAATGTAGTGAAACGTTATTATGAATCAATCTGGCGGTATCTTCGCTTGTCATAAGTCATCGTATGACGCATTTTGTTTGTCCTTTCCCGCCCTTTTTTCTTATATTATTCTTCCAGATAATTCATATCCATTATATAACTCCTGTTTTTTCCTTTCTTTCTCCTTAACTTTCCTTGTTCTGATCAAACACACTTTCCTTCTCTATCCTTGATTTGTTTCCATAATACATATCACCGATATTAAAGTTTCTTTCGTAATCTGATCGTTTTGGGGGTTAGCTTTTTATTGATTCATTCATTTGTCTAAACTCTGCAGAGGGTTGTTGGGCTTGGAGTAGATTTAAAACAGTTATTAGTGGGTGACGAAGCAGAATATTACGTAGAGAGTTATAGGTTGAATATCTGAGAAAGAAACTTTCACCTGCTGCCGAAGCACATGTCTTTTCAATCCAACCAAAGATATATATATATATATATATATATATATATATATATATATATATATATATATATATATATATATATATATAGCTTACATGAATCAAATTTATAGATTATAAACATGTTAACACAATATATACGTATGTATATGGTGTGTCATTTTTTTTCCTTTTATCTTTCTCTTGCCAAATAGATAAATGCCCAACCTGAAGAGATAGATAAATAGACAGCTAGATACAAAGAGCAGCTGGCAGAAGAGTAATGTTTGATACAATGACAGGAAGAACGAAGAGCTGGAAAATCATAAGTGACAACTATATCCACAACAACAATTTCCTTTGCTTTTTGACCCCAGTCCAATACAAACGAGGTCAGTCACGTGACCCTGTCGACTGGACCGTCACACTAGTCTTGAACCCAACCACTCGACATGCCCTCACCCAATGCATTTCTTCATCTCTACCTTCCGATCAATGTCTTTCGCCGACATTTTTAGCCCCGTCGATTGGACTTCCAATACCAAAATGTCTCCGAAGTTTCTTGCCATCTATTTTTCTTTCCTACTGCTTGCCTCAGACTTTTTTTTATGTGTAGTGTGTGTTTTCGTTTATCTTTTTGTTCGTTCGACTATTTTGCTTTTTCTTCCCTTTTTATGATTTTCTTCTATTATACAGTTACACCACCCCCACCCCTTACATGCACACCTCTGACCTTATTTTTCATTTGCCTCCAAGGAACGAAGTCACCTTGCCTTTCTACAATGTTATTAACAAATTCCCGGGTGCATTTCTATCACTTGCAACTCATTTTCTACTTTCTTTCAACAATCCATTAAAACCATCTTCTTCTTTTCCTCTCTACCTTTTCCTCGCTTTGTCTTCGTTGTCTCCCCGACCGTTTCATACGCTTTTAATTTTTCCATCAAAATATATGCACTCTAATGAAGTTGATTCTCGGAAAATTGCAACCTCAAGACAGTCTCTTAGTAAATACCCCAAACCTCAATCATTTAACCGAAGGGTTGGTTGTTTTTTAATGCTTAGTCGAACATGGAACATAAACCAATACAATTTTTTATTATTTTTTTATTGAAACTTTTATATGAATATGCTAAATGTAATTAAAGTGAAATTGCCATGGAGTCGAGTAACTTATTTTAGTGCCAATGTCGACAAATTTATATGGCGTAAAAAAGGACACTAAAAATTACATTTTCAAATTATGATGTAGGCATCGAAGATATTTTTCCTCTTTGAAGGTGATTTATGCACAAGTGTATATATATATATATATATATATATATCGTTGCGAAATTGCTATTTACTCAAACTACATAATCTATGTTCATATCTTATTAAGTATACATAGATTTAAGTTTACATTAGCAAACGCATACATAGAAACAAAGTGAGAATAAGTTAGATATTCTTTCGTACATAGTAAGAGACAAATATAGGTGTGATGAGGGGTGTTCGGTTTTGCCAAGAAATACTGATCAACTATCGAGAAGTTATTGGCATTCAGAAAAAGCTGAACGAGAGAATGCATTCCTTAAATGGGTGTGTATGTTTATACATGTACGTATGTGGTGTGTTGATCTTTGTAGATATAAAGCTATTCATAGCCGAAGTATCAGCTCCTTGTTGATCTGTTTTTTATGGCTTATCAACCCTTTGTAGTTTATTTGAAGCCCAAATATTGCATTAACATTTTTGAGAATAGTGATGTTTTTTCTAGGTACAAATCCTACTATTCAACCCATAGCTGGAGCAGATGAGATAGATTCATACCTTTCTCAAGAGTATTTGCGCCTAAGTGCCTGTAATGCACCCGACTGGTATTGAAAATTGTCTCTTCGATATTTTCAACCCGAGTCGCTATTCATTGCCCCTACCCGCACATCCAATCCTCGGCTCATCATGGGTATTTGTGGCATTGACTGAAAAGTCAAAAAGCAACTGGTTCGTCATAAAAGACGAATGTAGAAATGAGTGCGAGAGAAATAAAAGGAAATAGAGAAAAGAAAATGGAAATCGAGGTGTGGTAATGGTGACAATAACAATGAACACATGACAGACTAGAAAACATTCAGAGTTCCGACTTCGTCACTAAGAACTGAACTTTCAGTTTATAGATTTCAAACGAGGCTGCGATAAAATGTAACAATTTTATTTTCAGAAAAAGTATTGGTGTTAACTTTCTTGTTAATTGATAGTTTTTAAATCGTAAAACTACAAAATGCAAACTTTTAACAGAAAAAAAGTGAAGATACACACCACATCATTTCTAGAGTTATCACATTTAAAAAGAAAGCTACATGCACCGAAATTATTTGGTAACTGATGCGATTGTATATTTTCCAATAAAAGTCTGGATTTGGAAAGTAACAACCAAACACTGTTTACTCGGAAGAGCCGTACAACTCGATGAAGTATTCACTAATCGCGTAAAATAAAATAAAATAAAAAAAAAAAACACTAAAGTAGTAAGAACGCAGCTTCCGATGGTCACATGAAGGGTTTTATTTATTTTATTAGTGACACAGTAGTCTGAAAAATGTAATTTGAAAGTTATTTTTTGTGGATCAGAAATCTTAATCTAATGACAAACTAAGTAAATGAAAAATAAAACTTTCTACAGGTGTGGAGTGTCGGTCGCACGATAAGCGGGTCTGTCCTATGTTCATGACAAAAAACCCAGAAAAGAATCTAAATTGTCAGTGTTAATCTTATTGGTCATTCTTCAAATTGATCATGCTCAAATTGGAAATCAAAAGGCGACAAAAGTTGCGGAGCGAATCACAGTAAAATATACAAGGAAATAAGAAGTTCCTTCTTCCTTACCAAACCTAAAGTTTAAATCCGATACTTTGCACTAAATTTGTTTCCTCTTAAGAGTGTTTAAGTAATCAAATGTGATAGATAACAATTCAATTTTGTTAAAACGATACGTCAATGACTCAATGGGAAAGTAGTGAAAGCAAGACTTTCAACTTTGTGCGACTTATCAGGTAAAGTTATCCAGGATTTATTTATGGAAACTAGAATGATAAGTGGGAAATTAAGCCTGTTATGTGATAATACTCTTTTATCCGTTGATATCTTTCTTACCGGGCTAAAGAAAGCAAAAAAAAAGAGTCGCTTTTTCCAGTGCAGGTCGGAGACACATCGTATCTACTGATTTCTTGCGTTAAGTCGCATATAACTTACTCTAAAACAATTGAAGTCAGTGTTTTTTTTTTGTTCCCCCTCCTTATTTTTTCTTTTTTTTATGTTCGTTAATCTGTCTTACTACTTTACTGGACTTAGATGGAAGTTGCTTCTTAATGTTCAGTTTTTGTTTTCTTTTTTTTAAAGAGAACCCTCCCTCTCTCTCTACACACACATGTGTGTACGCATATAGAATATATAATTTTAAGTGCATTGGTTTAAAGTACTTGATCTAAGATAAAGATTATTTCCACGTTTATTTACGTCCAAGTCAATTGCATGGTCGGATATATTGTACTTAAGAGCACGTACGTTCACCTGCTTTGACGGAAAGCAACAAATCTGACTTGGTACTGCTCACTTTGGTGTATGCTCTAGATCAGGCCTGCACGGCTAGAAGCCTTGAAGGGTCATATTGCTTGCATTTTTTTTTAAATTGCCGTGATCCACAAATATTTAAATTACTGAGTCGGTTTTAATAAAAGAAAAATAAAAATAAAAAAGAACATCTGTGCTAAGTTTAAGCAAGCGTCGACAGTTCTTTTTTTTTTTTTTTTTTTAAAAAAAAGTGGAGATGTTTTTGTAAAATGTTTACATTTAGTTTTTTTTGTAACATAGCTAGATATTCCAACATTTTAACACTGTTTAAAAGACATACTAGTCATTTGATCCAGCTCCATACATTTGTCAATTTGTTAAAACTTTCTACGTTTTAAATAGTCAGTGTTTAAGCTTGTACGAAGGCATTTTACAATGGAAACTACAGGACTTAAAATATGATTGAATTTTATAACCTTTTCTCAAAACCCGCTAATGGATAATGCAGTAATGGGGTGGGTATTCGTCTTCCAAGGAATTCTTATAAAAGGGAAATAATCTCACCCTTCCCAATGCATAGCAGGAGCGCCATCAGTGCAATCTATTTATCAAATCATTTTCCAATTTTAACTTACCACGTTTATTTTATTAAAAATAAACTGTTCAGTTACGCGACCGAATATTGCATGCCAAAAACTTTAGGCAAGTGAAGATTTTTATTCCATCCAAATAAAAAGCCGAGCTATATCTTTTGGTAGTCTGTGATCCCATCCGTTGACAGTGTATAAAAGCAAAGTTTAACCTCCCACGCCAGCTAGCTTTAATTACTCTGCCAAATTTGCAATCATATCAGCTATTCTTTGTAAAGTTATGCGTGAGAAACTGACATTTTGGAATACCACCCTCCCTCGACATAATCCAGACACAGCAATTAGCATAGATTTCTTCATAAAGTCTCTTTTCGTAAAGGATTTTCCGTCGGCAGCAATTTCTCTGCAAATTTCAAAACTTATTCTAGATAATATTGAATTTAATGTATTGACTACTTTGAAAAACCTTTTGTTTCTTATCAAGAAATTTCACCAAACAGACTGTGGTTTCATGTGAATTCAATTTAGCGTTACTTTATTCTTTCTTTATAAGCACCCCCCCCCCTGCACTGTATTCTTTGGAAACGGATACAGTTTCATGGCACACCAAGATAATTGTTAGTGGAAAGAATGAGAAAATACTTCTTTGTTCCAGATTTTATGTTTCTCTTCTTTCCACTCAGAGCAGATATAGCAAAACTTCAAAGAAAATACGGAGAAATATTCACAGGTGCCAAAATATAGAAACAAAATCAACGTCTCGAAAAATTTTCTTGGCTACAGTGATTTATTGAAGAGAAAATCATTTTATTGATGTCCTAAAATTAATTTTAAGAATCGAGGGACGTTGAAGAACGCTTCCTTTTCCAAAATATAAAAATAGCGAAAAGAAGTAGCATCGTATATTTTATTTCAAGTCAAAAATTTGAAATAGTTGCGAGTCGGCTACAAAAGATTGGAAACGAGAAAGTCTTTCAAAAATATAATGCCTCAAGATTGACTTAATTAATATTAAATAGCATTTTTTTTTTTAGTTATAAAACAAGTTGACTTGGTATTTACATCGGACTTATCTTCGTTTTAGTGCTTTATTCGTTTGAATTATTTTTATTTCTCTTTCTTTCTCTTCAGATCTTTCCTTAGATCCATGGCTATTTTATCGGGAAACACGAAAAGAGGTGGGGAGTAATCGAACTACAAAGATTTTATTCAGTCATTAGATATACACAGCAATGTCAGGTTCGTGCATACGACAAACACTTCTGTTAGTTAAAGGAAACAGGTCAAACAACATTTCTCGAGATTATCATGTGATCATGAAGAGTAATTTGTAACCTTTTTTTTATCGAAAGAAAAGGGGCAAAAAATAAAACAAAGCCAAAAGAAGATTGAAAGACAAAACAAAAATTGAACAGAAGAATGAAAGCAAAACGAGTTTATAACAGGATATAAGGAGAAAATAATAATAATAATAATAAAGGAATAAAATAATAATAAATAATAAAGGAAAAAGAAAATAATAATAATAATAAAGGAGAAAATAATAATAATAATAAAGGAGAAAATAATAATAATAATAATAAAGGAGAAAATAATAATAATAATAAAGGAGAAAATAATAATAATAATAATAAAGGAGAAAATAATAATAATAATAAAGGAGAAAAAATAATAATAATAATAATAAAGGAGAAAATAATAATAATAATAAAGGAGAAAATAATAATAATAATAATAAAAAACAGAAATCAGAAGAACGCAAGAAGAGAAAAGGTAAATGCTAACAAGTAAGCAATCGGAAAGAAAAAAAAGAAAGAAAGGTGCTAAATGTAAAGAGACTAGGAGAAAAGCTGGAAAATGAAAAGCAAAGGGGTTCGAAAAATACACGCCTTTTCAGCAAATATAATTTATATATTTTTAGACTCTTTGTTGTGGTCCTCGAGACAAAATCAAAGTGTGTGTCGCAAGAGAGAATCGGCAAATACTTTTGATAAACCCCATAGTGACATTGTGCTTCTCTTCTTTTCATCAGGGAAGAAAAAGTGCTGGGATAGATAGGTAGATAGATAAGTAGATAGATAAAAGAAACTGCAGCTGAAGGTCACTACCAGAGAGACCGAAAGGCCGGCGGATCTGTCGGACATTGGACTTGAATGTCCAGTTCAGAAACCCTTATGGGCCAAGGAGGAGAAAAGCTTGGGAAGACAAAAATTGACGGAAAGAAGAGTGAAGAAGATTTCGTTGAAAGTACTTCAGGTTATTTACCTCTGTTGGGAGAGTGACTCTGATTGATTAGTTCGGTCCAAGTGTTGTGGGAACACCAAATATACATCATAGATTGCCGAACTGTCAAACAGGCTTCGGGATGCGACACCGTAGTTGCTCAGTCCGATCGTTGTGGCCCTGTTCGACATTAATATTAACTATTCAAAACCTTGGGGACGACATTTGCCTGGAGTTTCATTTCTTGACAACTTTAAATAGTCTGTTTCAATTTCTCATCTTACTTATCGGTCGTTTTTCAACTGCCTGCCTTCATTTTGTTTCATTTTGCTTTTCTTTGTTTTCCTTTATTTTCTTCCAATTCTTCTTTTACTAAAGGAGACCAAAGAAGTAAATGACTAGGGGACTTTAACAGTAAAATAGAAAGATGGTGAGCAAATATTTCAATAAAATCATTATTGTATTAAGGACAATGCGTTACGATCTCGCTCACACACACACACACACACACACACACACATCTAAAGTGTCGCCGAACTTTAAATAGTTTTGACTTTGAATAGTTTACTCTAATCTTTGTTTTATTCCTCATCCTTTCTTACAAATACACATTTATGTTGTACGTTCGAGGGATGGTATAGGTGATAAACACATGAATAAAAATTCATTTAATCATGTGGGGCTCCGACATATTTCTAAAATATCTGACCAAAACATAAGAATTTTTATTGGAAAAACTTCTTGGACGGGCCGATAACTTTTCAACGTAACCTACTAGAGAGATCTGATAGATAAATACATGTGAAAAATTGGAGACAGATAAATACTAACAGATAAATAGTAAGAGGTTTAAGATAGGTAAATATAGGTCACTCCATGAGATCGCTAAAAAAAAGAGCATAGCATGATGGAAAAGACGCCAAACTTGACGAAAACAAAATTATATCGTCTAAATGTTTGTTATTATTAAGAGGAAAGATCAAAGTATTTTGGGGGTATTTTTCGGACGTTCTAGGAACGATTAAAAATCGTTCCTAGAACGTCCGAAATTTTCGTTAAAATCTTGTTTTTTTGAGTCAGCAAAATTGACAGATAATCGATCATGACAACCATTTTTTCCATTTTACAAAAAAATGAAAATCTCAGTTTGAAATTCTTTTAAAAATCAATTATCATTTTTTTCAAAACTTATTTTATATTTTGAAACAAGCTTAACTTAGCTTCTGCGCCGAAAAGATGTAATTAGAAAATAAAACAAAGCAGGTCATAAACTTTTGCGTCACTTGACAGGTGATGAATGACTACGTGACTAGGATTACGTGAGGTTAATTTGTTCTACGGAAGAAGAAAAGTGAAATTATTTACATTTAAGTGAACAAATTATTTAGCTCGTTATTTTTTCTAATTTTTTTTTTGTTTTTTGTACTTAGCTTTCACCTTTACGTTTGCGATGCTTTGTGGAAAATATATTATAAAGAAATTAAAATAAGACTGTTAAGAGTGAGATTAAATTTCATAAGAAAGCTATCTAATTAATTTATTGGTACCTTTCTTATGAAATTTTATCAGAAGTGTACATAAAATACTATAATTTTATGTACATTTACTACATTTTACTGTGTTATTTGTATTTCCATTCATTTTATTATTAATTTTGATATTTCATTTATGGAAAAATGTCATAACTGAGATTAATATAAAAATAAGATCATATAAATTTCATAAGATGATACTGATACTTGTAGGTACCCTTCTCAGTTGAAATTGAAAAATCAAATTAACTTCCCCACACGTGTTTCGCAAAAGTAAAGGCCTTAACAGCAGAGAACAATGCTTAACTCAAATAACGCAACTTAATTGAATTCTGGTTGGTCTTCCGTACTTTATAATTACAGCCCGATTATAAACACAAAATTGCATTTCTTAATTACTGCGGATCTTCTGATTAGTCAAAACGATACAATTTACAATGTGGAAAAAAAAGATCTATGACACTTACGAAAGTGGATGCGGCTTTTAACTCATTTTATAATATTTTAAAAACTTAAATGTAAAAATCTATTACAATTAAGAAATAACAAATAATTGTATTAAAAATTTATTTTTCATCGAAAAATTTTTTTACTTTGAGAAAACATTGTCCATCTTCATAAAAGCAACTAAAAGCAAATAAAAGCATTTGAAATTAAATAATATCTTTGTTTTTATCAGTTTTGTATGTTACAATTCAGAGGTGATTTTCAGGTAGGGGGCGTCCAATTAAAAACAATACAAAAAAAAACATGATTTGCATTCCTCAAAGACTTGTGCTTTTAACTATTGTAATTAATAAAGTGTAAATTTCTAGAGTTTTCATAAAATTAGTTATGGAAGGGTAATAAATATAAAAAATATTTCTGCCATGACAATAAAAAAAGACATATTTATAATAATTTCGAACATCTGTGAATACTTTCTGAAAGTTTCATTAACATCCAGCAATTATTTTTATTTTTGCAAGATTTTCCAAATTAAAAAATATATTAATATTTCCAAATTAAAAAAAAAAAAAAACCTGCTAAAAATTGTATGTTATTTTACTAGTTCCGGTGATACAAAAAGAAACAAGGATTTTTAAATCAAAATTCAGAATGTTCTAAAAAGAAGGAAAAATTTAAAAAATAATTAAAATAAACATTGATCTTTCCTCTTAAAAATAGCATAAACATTTAGACGATAAAATTTTGTTTTCGTCAAGTCTGGCGTTTTTTCTTCATGCTATGCTCTTCTTTTAGCGATCTCGTGGAGGTACCTAGGTAAATAGATATGTACAACTATGCCTATACATTTATAAATGCATACAAACAAGAAAAGAATTCAAATTGATAGACAGAAGAGGAATTGTTTTTCATATTGTAACATTTTCTTACCTAGTGAGTTACTTTTAGTGATCTCCTTCTCAGAATAATGATTCTAATCTTCCGATAAGGTTTCCAGTGTACCAAGAATTATCGGCACGATTCTGACTTTCATGTTCTGATTTCTTCTGTTATGCAATTTTTTACTTTTTCAATTCCTTCTTATTCAAGCTTGTATAAATTCTCAGAATTCATCAGCAGGTCTGTAACTGTTCTAATCTCCTTGCTAAGCAATTTAGAGCAGTTCCTGGTGCATCAATTATTTTCAGTATAATAATCTTGCATTTATAAATACTATAATTATTTATTAAATACTGTTCCTCAGTATAGAACGCTATTTTCATATTGTTAACTGAAAATAACGTCAGTTATTGTCACGTGTGGAGAATATTGTCATTATAGCTGTGTTTACGGATTCAATCATTTTCTTTTGATTTTACGATATTGTTGTGTATGTTTGTTTGGGGAGCAGTAATTTTGTTAAGAAAAGTGAAATAGGGAAAAAGCCTGGGCGTAGATTAATATTTGGTTAATATTGTATTCATTCTAATATGAAAATAGCGTTCTCGACATTCCTCCAGTTGCTAAGAACATTCTGTTTTTTTTTGTTATTATTGGTTACTTTCTTTAATTAAATTCATTTCGTTTTTGCTTTGAAAAAGTCCACATCGGACGAAACGCGTCAGCAATAAATACAGTTTTCCTATTGTCATCTATATTAATATATATATATATATATATATATATATATATATATATATATATATATATATATATATATGGTATATATATTTCCACGTATGCATCTTATAATATATGTTAGTCAATAAAGATAATAATATTGATAATGAGACTAATAATATTTATTGTATATTTGTAGATCTTTTAACCAAAAAATCATGAGGAAGATGTTAAAAATCTGAATTTTCGGACACGCCTGTGTAGTTTCATTCAACGAGAAATAAAAAAAATGAAGTGCGACTTTTTTTTGGGGGGGGGTGCATGTTTTGCATGTGTTATATTACTATTAAGATCTCGTAATTTTGGTCTCGTTGTTTGCCACGATTAAGGTTGTCAAGTGTTTGTAGATGGCTTTTTGAGTAAACTGTATTCATTGAGTATGCCTAAATTCCTATTTAAACATAGAATGTGTGAATTTATTTTTAAAATGTATTTTAAATCGAACTTTTGATGTTTTTGTTGGCATTTAAATGAATACGCTAAAAGGATGCATCAAACATTATCAATACTATGGTCTGGTTGGTTGAATTGTGCAGCTACAGTGAAACTGATATTGTCTTTGATTATTTATCTTATGGTTTTTAAGTTGAAGATAGAATTCAGTAGCTGTTTCATCGACAGAATTTCCAGTTTTGCATTTGTCATAAAAAAGTAAATATATTACATTTGAACTATCACAAGTCATTTTTCCACATGATATATTACTGATTAGATCTAGTAGCTTTGATCTAGTTCTTAGCAACGATTACGGTTATTATATAAACTTTCTCTTGTAAAGGGGGACGCAAGTTCGAATCCTGCTGGAGGACGCATTTTCTTTGATAAAATTTTTCGAATGTTCAGGTCGGTAGACAAAATAAAATACTGTTTAAAATAAACAGAGCGTTTACTCAAATATAGGTATTCACTAAAAATAACGTTTGAAGCAATAAATATATATAGTTGTGAATGTATGTAAGCACTATGTGTACATAATAAGCGTAAGCTCTCTCTCTATATATATATATATATATATATATATATATATATATATACACACACACAACTGTGTGTGAGGAAGAGTCACAAGGAAAATTTGTTACTACAGACATGTACATATACATTGAAAGATTAGTGTAGAGGTCCCGCCAATTAAGCATAGAGTCGTGCGGATATATTTAGAAGAACGTAAGGATTGGAATTAATTTTTTTCTAAGGTTTTAAAATGTTCAACTCATGTCTTTTACTTGTATGGTAAAAAGGCAATAGAAGATTATATAAGATACAAAAAAAAATAAAGGTAG